CAGACTAAACCATATATGTTAATACATTGATTTATGCTACAACAACGTAATTTTGGAATGTATAGCTCCTAAAAAAGGGCAACCTGGTGCATGTAGCTCCCGCTTGCGCAGGGTCCAGGGAAGGGTCCGACCACTTTGGGTCTATAGTACGCAGCCTTTCCCTACATTTCTGTAAGAGGCTGTTTCCAGGACTTGAACCCATGACCTCATGGTCACAAGGCAGCAGCTTTACCACTGCGCCAAGGCTCCCCTTCGGAATGTATAGCTCCTAAGTGCCGAATACATGAGACTGAATTTGGTTATCCAGAACATGATTTGGTCTTATTGATAGCAATGTGAACCTTTGAAAAATTGTTTTAATTCATTTGTCTTCTCTTAGTGGACCTGGAATCTTTCTATGGCCTTTTTTCCTAGGGCTGCATTATTTGATTTAATCCTTTTTTGCCCGAGCCGAAGGATCTAATGAGAAACTGTTGGTTCACAATCAACCCTTGGAAGTGTCAACATCTAGATCGACAAATTTTACAGCAAGGTTGTCATTAAATTCTTTTGAGCCCCCTATAGAAGTGAAGTTATTTCATGTAATTATAATTGTGCTTGCTATTTATCAGGTGACTGGAATTTTCAGCTGCGGCGGTCGACATGTGCCTGAGAAGTAGGTGAGACGGCACTAAGGCTCAGATGGAGGTGACACTGCCTGTCGCGGCATCTCCAAGATGGAGATGGAGCTAGGACCTGGACGTAGGCAGGGACAACGCAACTTGTCGTGGTGTCGGCGGCGGAGGACATGCAGCGGGTTATGGGGTTTGGGTAGAGGTGGGTTAGATGGATGACGGCGGCAGCAGCGGTACCTCGGGCAGACCAGGGCGGCAAGGCTGCAACGTGGGCGGTCGTGTGTGTTGGCGTAACGGACCCGACTGAAGAGAAACCTTTTTGAGCCTGAAATAGTCGCTCTCAATTGTAACCATAGCAGCTTGGCACGGTTTTGAAGGATCAGAGTTGCTTGTGTGTTGTATGACTCAGTTTTTTCTTGCAAATTTAAGTCCTTTGTTTGCTCTATATGTTGAAGACGTTCGTTCTACACGTCTTCCTACGGGTTTTGAAGAAATAGAGTTGCATGGTACGACATGGTGAAAAGAGAAGATGCACATGATGAGATGGAAACGAACTATGTGTTTTTTTATCTGTAAGTAGCAACGTAGGTTAAGTCTCGTTACTGGACCGAATCATAACACTCAACACGTGCGTTGCATGTGCACATTTACTAGTCAAGTAAAAACGTCCGCGTAATCAGGATCTGCCTGATCGCTATCAACGGGGGACAAATTTGTTAGGGGGTGGTTTTCTAAAAAGATTGGAAGATCCGGTCAAAGAAGGTGATAGCCCTGTTCATTCGTTCCCATGGTTCGATCCTTCCCAGTAAAACGCGGCGTGTTCGAATGATGATCTCGCCCCCCTCGTCCCCCCTTGGATCCGGCCGCTGAAGAAAGGCAGATGTCCTAGCCCCTTGCAGCTAGCTGGTAGTAGGCCTCCCCAGTTACAACATGGGATCGTTACACTGACGTCACACATATTCTTGTCTTTCCTTTATATTTTCAAAAAAGAAGATACATATATTATGGAAAAATAAATAGTAAATGTGCTGTAAAATGTTCGGACGATTTTTAGAAGATGTTTCTCCCATTAAAAAATGTATGAAGATTTAAAAAATGTTCAGATATTTACGTGACAATTAAATAAAATAGTAAAATACACCGAAGGCCCTAAAAGTTTGAAATCGTTCACCGCAGGGCCTAAATGTGTGTAAGTCATTCACCGCGGGTCCTAAAGTATTCCAGATGTGTCAAGTAGGTCCTAAAAGTCGCGGGTCAAATTCACATATAGGACCTACGGTGGACAATTTTCAACTGTTAGGACCTACTTGATACACTTGAAATACTTTTATGACCTCCAATGTATTTAACTCTAACTAAAATGTTATACAATGAAACAAAAGTTGCCCAATATGTGTTAAAAACGAAACTTTTAACACATCATCTCTTTCAGATGCATACATATATACATCTCTTTTTATGACACACGAATATGCATCAAAGTACATCATGTCTTTAAAAGAAGTTGTAGCCTTGTCCTTGAAAGAATTGGTTCTTCCATAGATTTTACAGGAATACCTCAATGAATACGTTTGGATACGTCTATTTTTCCGACAAGTATTTCCGGACGGAGGGAGTAGTACGAACCAGAAATGTAAATTTTGCATCCACCAAAAGAACTTGCAATATTGTTCCAAGAAGAGATGATGATAATAATTTTATATATCAGTCAAAAAAAATGAGGAAATTGACTATTTATTATTAAGTTCGTCGGACTTTGATTATAACTACAAAGTTGATTTCTTCTTGACAAAAAATGTCTAGGGACTAGATTGTGAGAGATGATTAGTGCTATTGAAAAAGAAGAAGATCCCGCATACACACGTCGTATACATGTACAAGTATAAGGATGGTGATCGGCCCATAACTATCTACATCGGTCCATGCCTCCATCTACCGAGCCGTGCAACTCATCAGGCAGCGCCGCCGCCTCCTCGACCCTAGGCGACGAATTCATCATCTGGTGCCCCGGCCGCCAGCCGCCGGCAAATCAGGTCCCCATCAGTTCCTAACTTTCAGCGAACATCCAACTAGCCGCTCACAATTCGTCGATGTTGTTTCTAATCTCTCCATTGTCAATAGTAAAAAAAAACACAATGAAAATCGTTGCACCTAAGAAAGGATCGTAGCAAATCCTACAGAAAAATAGGATCGCGACATCTAGCACCTAAGAAAGGATTGTAACATATTTTTTTTCCTTTCCTGCTCCATAATTTTTCTCTCTCATGGAGTGATCGATCAGTATCTGTTCCATGTGTAGCAATCGATCTGTATATGACCTGTGTACAAGTGGGATCTTTTTCATTTTCCCCTAGCATTGATCATCTCTCACGCTCCAGTCCCTGGTTATTTTGTCAAGAAAAAAATAAAGAGTCAATTACATCACAGGTGACTAAACTTGGCACAAAAAGTCAGTATAGTGCTGAAACTTGTGGCATACGTTGATCTGGTTACAAAACTTGGCTTGATTGTTCATATACGGTCAGAATCACGTTTGGATACAAATAGAGGGCTGACTGGGATCGCCAGCGTGGCGACGGGCCCATTGTCAGTGGCTGCAAGGCGCGGGCAGAGGCGTCTGGCCTGGGTGTTTGCAGAAAACCCCCTGAAAGCTTTATTTTTTGTCACGAAAAAGCCCCTGCACAGGCGGGAGAGGTTTGGCCTGTTAGTTATGCGGCTCCGCATATGGCTGAATTAGTTTACCAAAACCCTCCCTCGTCGACTCCCCCGCCTCGTGCTCTCCTCTTGTGTCTCTCCTCTTGATCGTTTGCAGGCGACGGCGACGTCGATCGGGGCGACGGCATTGATCGGCGGCGTCGATGACGATGGAGCCCCGTCGGCGAGATCCTGGGGAACCAGCCCCTGTGTATGGTGAGCATGCCCTCTATCTCTCTCTCTCTCTATCCGCCACCTCTTCCCTGTTTATGTTAGGGTTTTAGTCAATGTGCTTGAATCGGTGAAAATCTTTAGATTGGTCTTGATTTCGTCAGTGGATGCTTGCTAGATACACTAACGTAAGAAGTCCCCTTTGCATTCATCCGTATGTGGGCTGTGTATAGGATTTCTCCCGGTTCCAAAAGGGCTCTGTTTTCATGATCTAAAATATTCAGATTCTCTGAATAACTAACCCCCCGTGTATAAGATTATTAGAACATGTTTGCTCCAGTGAAACCATTGGATGTGGTACAGCAGCTTCTATTTCTGATGAAATTGTACGTAACTGAATTTTTGACACTTGCTAACTGAATGTTTGACAATTGATAACTGAATGTTTGGACAACAGTAGATATTTGAAAGTTAGGAATTTTAAGCAGTAAGCAGTGTTAACTACAAATCCAGTAGTTAGTTCCATTATTTGTGACTGGACATGACAGAATCGTAATGGAATTTGACATTAGTGTTAAATGAAGATGTGCATTCTCAACTGAATTTATTTTGGTTGTGAGAACTATAGATCCCTGCTTTTTTTCTTTGCACTAAATTGCAGTTGCATGCTGTTTTTGGCACTATGAAGTGAACATGTTAGCTGTTGTAAGCATAATTAATTGAAGATGTGTATATTTTACTGAATGTTTTTGCATTCTCTACATTGTAGGTGATTTTGATGGGCGGTTCACGGTTGAAATTCATCACAAAGGATTTTTCTATGGAGCTGGGCCGCTGTGCGCCGCCGCTGGGCCGCGGGGCCGCTGCGCCGCTGTGGAGCCGCCGCCGCCGCGCCGCTAGGCCGCGGGGCCGCTGCGCCGCTGCTATGGCGACGCCGCCGCCGGCGTGCAGCCGCTCTGATGAACCAAGGGAAGAGCCGCCACTCTGCTATGGAATTGGGGATCGCGGGTTAGTGATTTTGGACAGACAGAATTCAGGTCGTGGGGTTTTTTGTGACAAAAATAAAGCTTCCAGGTGGTTTTCTGCAAACACCCAGGCCATACGCCTCTGCCGTGCCTTGCAGCCATTGACAATGGGCCCGTCGCCACGCTGGCGATCCCAGTCAGCCCTCTATTCGTATCCAAACGCGATTCTGACCGTATATGAACGATCAAGCCAAGTTTTGTAACCAGATCAACGTATGCCATAAATTTTAGCACTAAACTGATTTTTTGTGTCAAGTTTAGACACCTGTGGTGTAATTGACTCAAAAATAAACTTTGTAGTTATAATCAAATTTCAACGAACTTAATAATAAATAATCAATTTCCTCAAAAAAAATTGCTTCTTCAGTGGTCAGCTGAGCGGAGTGGGGTCTGTCCACCGCTTCTCTCCGCAGCAGCATCCACCACTACTCCGCCCCCCTCCCATATCTCCTCCGGCGAGCCCCACGCCTCGCTCGCCGGATGTCGGTGGACCCCGATGCTGACCCCCTCCGCCGGCACCCCGCCGCCTCCACCTCCCTTCTCCCGCTCTAGCCCCGCCCCCAGCACGACCTCCTGCTTCCTCCCCACCCTCACCCGCCACCGCCGTCGCCGACGATGCCTCCCCGTCCCCAAAGCCGCCGCCTTTCCGCCCCGGCGCGCGGCAGCCGCGCTCTCCGCCAGCAACCTCCCCGCCCCCGAGCAGACCCCCTCCACCTCCGCCTCCCCCGCGCGCCCCTCCCCCACGGCCTTCACCGCGGGGGGCTACCGCGCCGGCGGGCCAGGGGGCGAGGACCCGCTGGTCTCCAAGCTGCGGACCCAGCTGGGCGTCATCCACCCGCTGCCGGCCCCGCCCCCTCTCCCGTCCCTCCCCCGCTCCGTGCTCGGCCTCTTCGCGCTCTTCTTCTTCGTGGGCGCGGCCTTCGACAAGCTGCTCACGCTGCGCCGGCGCCGCCGCGCCGAGCGCGAGGTCCGGGTGAACGGGTCGTGGCCGCAGGTGCCCACCTCCGGCTTCTCGCTCTTCCTGGAGGAGAAGGACCTGCAGCGCAAGGAGTCGGTGGAGTGGGTCAACATGGTGCTCGGCAAGCTCTGGAAGGTCTACCGCCCCGGCATCGAGGGCTGGATCGTCGGCCTGCTCCAGCCCGTCATCGACAACCTCCAGAAGCCGGACTACGTCAACCGCGTCGAGATCCGGCAGTTCCACCTCGGCGAGGAGCCGCTCTCCGTCAGGAACGTCGAGCGCCGGACCTCACGCCGGGCCAACGACCTGCAGTGAGTCTCCTCTTCTTCGTGTCAGCGAGTTCTTAAGCATAATTCAGTCACCTGCACTTGATTTGGGTGGAAAATTTACTTTCATCATTAGACCAATGGTAGGTTCATTCAGACATTGGTGTTAGAAACTATCCAAACAGTTTCAGACTCTCAGTGTGATTGACAGCACCATTTGGAGCAGAATGGGGAAATCTGTGGATTTATGATAATGATCATAGTTTTAGTTTTTCTTTAGGGAAACAGGGTGTATATTAGTCTGAGAATAATTAATCTTTGTGCAATATATTACCTACGTCTCAAATTACTTGTCTTAGATTTGTCTAGATACGGATGTATCTAATGCTAAAATGTGTCTAGATACATCCATATCTAGAGAAATCTAAGACAAGTAATTCGGGGCGGAGGGAGTGTCAGTTAAGATCAATAAGCAACTGTGTGATTGCTTTACAGATGTGGAAGCAGACTACCTCATGTACTTGATTCATATTACTACGATGTGGGTGTTTCTGTTAGTCATTGCTGCGAGAATTGTGTTTATCTTACTGTTATTACCCATTGGTAAAGAAAATAAGTTAGAATTGGTTAACTCAGTTGTGTGTTTCAGGTACCAAATCGGCATCCGTTATGCTGGCGATGCACGCATGGCATTGGCTCTCTCGTTAAAGTTCAGTGCTGTGCCAATTGTCGTGCCGGTCTGGGTTCGAGATTTTGATATCGACGGGGAGCTGTGGGTTAAACTAAGGCTTATTCCGACAGAACCATGGGTGGGAGCTGTGTCTTGGGCATTTGTGTCGCTCCCGAAGATAAAGTTTGAGCTGTCGCTGTTCCGGCTCTTCAATCTTATGGGTATGTACTTCCTCTGTCCTGGTTTATTAGTGCCCTCATATTTTGGGTCAATTTTGATCATACATTTCATTAATAAAATATGAATTATGCGTAGTAAAAATAATATCATTGAAAACTTCTTTCAAATATGAACCCAACGCTATAATTATTGTGACATATAACTTATATTTTGATACTCATATATGGTCAAACTTTAGCCAAAATCCGAGGGGGACTGATAAACCCAGACTTATACAACCTTACTGTTCCCATTTGCAACTTATACCTATTTTAGTGATTTTGAGGTCGATTAGCATGGGCTATCGAAAGACAGAATATGGTTGGAACATCTTAACCAATTTAACTTATTTGCAACATACGTGGTAGAATATCATAATTTAGGATTATTCAGTTGCTTTCTAAGATTGGGGTGTGTGGCAGTTCAACTAAACTGAAGAAATATTACCCTCCTCTCTTCTGCGCTTTATAAAAAATGGAAGCTATATTACCCTCCTCTCTTCTGCGCATATGTCTAGTATTCATTCCTGCGGGCATTGAGATGGTTGAAAGAAAATGAGAGGATACTCTTAGGACTGTACATTTTCTATGTCTTAATTTAGTGGTTTTCTGCATGCAGAACACTGTCAATATGTTATACTCCCTCCGTCCCAAAATAAGTGCCTCAACTTAGTACAAGTTGTACTAAAGTTGAGACACATATTTTGGGACAGACTACTGCCACTTATGTGTTCTGTTTCCTATTCATAAGCTCTTGTAGTCTCGTTCACACTCTGCTGGGTGATTGTGAGCTCATATTTTTCTCTGTATCTCTTTGATGACATGGCCAGCAATTAATTTGATTCTTTGCTAACAATGTGCTAAAAAAATCTCTGCATGTACACGTTGCTCGTCTCCAACAGCAATTCCTGTTCTGTCAATGTAAGCTCTATCATCTAAAATATCTATGCTGAATCATGGTTACATACTGGTGTTGATACATTTGGAAATGCCTGTTGATGCATTTATTCATTTTGTAGTTACTGTTTTTTTGTTCTGCCAAGATGATGTACTCTGTTTTCTTGTTTACTGCATGGTTCTAGAAGATCAAATACTGATCTATGTGTATAGAACAGTTGCTATAAATTAGTTGAGCTACCAATGTCACTTTTGATCCCAACTTGTACTTTTTTTATGAACCACTTGACTTAATTGGCTACTGTAACTTATTCTCTTCATGAATAATTGAATATGAATAACAACAGATAAAGGATTCTGTTAGTAGTTGTGGTTCAGATTTCCAGAACATAGACGGTGTTTTGGATTCAGTGGTGAACACATTTAATTGAAGACTTGAAGTCCCATTACATTGCTTGTATCATGTTTCAGGACAATTCTATAGTCATGCCCAGATTTCATGCCTTCATGCTCAGCTCTTTCTCGGAGAAAAAAATAACACTTTTTATGCTTTGATAGAAAGTTCGCGTACCCTTATCTAGTGACCTAATAAGTTACTTGTGATTTCTGCTACTAGATTTCTCACGAAACTTCTGACGGAAGACCTGCCACGTCTCTTTGTCCGGCCCAAAAAGATTGTCCTTGATTTTGAGAAGGGGAGAGCTACGGGACCTGTTGCGGGAGATGTTGCAAGCGACATAATTCAAAATGTTGCAAGCGGTATAATGCAAGGAGTTGCAAGTGACTTAGTTCAAGATGTTCAAGATGGAAACAAGGACTTTGTTGGAGAGCTATCTGTGACACTAGTTGACGCTAGGAAGCTTAGCTTTGTCTTGTTCGGTAAGGGCTCTCTGCTTTCACTTGTGTCTGATTTAGCATCTGTTTTATTTAGTTTAGAGCTGACATCCAATTCATTTCTGTATACCCAATGGTGTACTGCCTTGTTGCGTCAGGCAAGAAAGTGCTCTAACAAATTTCCGCATTTAGAGCACGATAGGCCTTGGCAAACACTTGAGCCGGGTTTGAAAAGGACTCCCCACCTCCCACCCCCTCAAGGGCTGAAACAGTTAGCTCTGGCCCAGCCTATAGTGCTCCTGGGTTTTTCTGGTTTGGACTTCGTGCTCTGGTCCATATTAAAGCAGTGGTATACCGATGAAAGGTTCTTCACAGTCGAGTTTGTACTTATATTGAGTCTCTCTGTTTTCAAAAGCCGGCATAAATTAAATTAAATTAAATGCATTGATTCAATCACACATAGGCTAAAAGAGGCATTAAAAACAGTTAATTTTTGTCACAAGCCTTTGTTTCGTGTTGACGAAGCTTTGGGGCACTTCATTTCACTTGCAGGGAAGACAGATCCATACGTTGCCATGATTCTTGGTGATCAAGTCATAAAGAGCAAGAAGAACAGCCAAACAACTGTGACTGGCCTGCCAGAAGAACCAATTTGGAATCAAGTAAAGCTCTGACGAACTTCTGCTTCACACTCACTTGCTCTAACTGAAATATTTCTCATATCTGCTGCCATGCTTATAAACACTCCACATGAACCAGGATTTTCATATGCTGGTCGTAAACCCTCGCAAGCAAAAGTTGTGTATTCAAGTGAAGGACACGGTTGGTTTCACCGACATCACTATTGGCACTGGAGAGGTATGATCTGACTGTCAACAGTTTTGTTTCTCCACTCTCACTATTTTGTTGCATACTCTGCCTATTCATTTGCTTTCTGGTTCAACACACAGAGATTGGGATGATTCCAGTTAGATGGTTTTATAACTGCAAGTGAGATGAACTTCGCTGCTAATATTCTTTTCAGGTTGATCTAAGCTCACTCAAAGACACGGTACCCACCGACAAGATTGTCACGTTATACGGCGGGTGGGGCTTCTTCGGAAAGCGGTCATCCGGCGAGGTCCTCCTCCGGCTCACATACAAAGCGTACGTCGAGGACGAGGAAGACGAGACGGTCAAAACCGAGTACGCCACGGGCTACATTTCGGACGAGGACACGCTAGACTTTGTCCAGCTCGACGGTACCAGGCGGGGCGAGGTCAACGGCAACGAGAGGGAGACCTTCATGGACCTGCTGGCCGCGCTGCTCGTGAGTGAGGAGTTCCAGGGCATCGTGTCATCGGCCGAAACCAGAAGCTCGAGAGACGCCGAGCAGGCCGAGGAGCCGAAACCCGGTGACGACGTCACGGCCGCCGGTGTCGCCGTAGATGCGGGCCCAGTGTCCAGTAACCCCGAAGGTAAACAGTTTTTTTATGTTTTTTGGACCCATGAGGCTTGCTTGTTTACTGTGTGGGTCTATGTATGTTTATGCTGGTCATGAGCTGATTTGGAAGGCTTTTCTTGTCTGCCTTTGGTGTCTCAGATAGGGCCCTGGTCTGGCTTGCTGCCATAACCAGCGTGATGCTGCTCGTCTCCTCCAACATTGGTGGCTCGGGGTACTTTAACCCATAGAATGGTTATCTTCTCATCAGACTTGATCCACCGAAGATGCGTCTACCGTTTTTTCGATTTTCGCGATTTTCGCACTCATTCCACGGAGGAGAAATTTTTGCATCGCTTTGACAATTGTATATTCCTTGTTATAGCAGAGTAATCAGAAAATGGCATGATTTTTTGTGAGGTTACTGTATTTTTCTTATGGTTATCTTTTTTTTTCTGTATGGAAGGAAGAGACCATCTGTAATTTGTGGTTGGGAACTGGGGCAGGTTTGATTATTATTTGTTAATTAGAATTAATTAGTTATTAACTGGTTGGATTAGTTAAATGAATGTGAATGGGGATGTAGCTCAAATGGTATAGCACTTATGTTGCATCTTATATATACTTTTTGCATCTTGCTTTTTTAAAGGATATTCTTTTTATACCTTACAAAAAAGAGTGAAAACAGTGTTGACACGCTGCTTGGGCTTCTGCCTTCTTTAGTTGGGCTGAAGGTGGAGGCTGATCCACTTTCGAAAATAAAGTGTAATTCGACCTCAGGTGGAATTTGGTGCCTAACATTTTTTGTTTGTTTTTAGGTTGCTCACCACAACATTGGCTAACCTCTGCAAGTTTCTCAAAAAACCCTAAAAGAAGTTTCTAAAAAAAAACCCGCAACAACCAATAATACAGATATACAAAAACACAATGTAAATGCATATGCGACAAATCATTCAATGTGACAGACTATGGAAGATGATCACAACAAGTCCTATGTAAAAATGTTTCCGGTTTAAAACGCATAAGAAAAATAACTTATGCAAGAAAACAAAGAATGCCTGTGCAAAAAATGCAAGAAAACCAGGCGCGGACCCATGTGGGGGCCATGCACCTATTTAATATCTATTTTTTTCCTTTAAAAGAACTTTTAGCTCGTTTGTTTTAGTTTCCGTATGAAGTATGTATATCTCCATTTTTGCATGGGTGAAAGGAACCATCCGTTTGTCTTTCGTACATATTTATTGATCATAACTAGTTAATACTAATTGCTCTAATTAATGTGATTGATATCAATGGGGATGTAGCTCAAATGGTAGAGCATTTATACGGCTTATAAAAGGCAGGGGGATCGATACCTCCCATCTCCATATTATTTTTCTTATTTTATTTTATTATTTTGATAATCTTTTTGCTG